GTTGTTCACTTTGATCTTTCGTTCCTGTTAACAAGAATGTATATATTTTGCTTAACATATGGTAGCCGAAAGATGGTTCATGAAATGGCAGATGAGAAAACAGCAAGTATAGTGATTCTGCATTTCTATTTGTATACACACCTCCATCTCACGAGCCTTATTCGCAGTAGTTGACAGTTGCCGAGTATGTACAGCTAGGCTTCCGGATTTTACTATTTTATGTAATGCACTCACGAAACGAGTATACATCGTGTTGAATATACATATGTCGCTTTACGACCGACTGAAGTCTTTAAATGGATTGTTCGTGGTGAACTGCTGACAGCGCACATCGGTATCGTTATATATAGCATCGTCGATTAGAAATACAGCATTTTGAAACAGATAGCGAAATAACGCGATAACACGAAAATGGTAAAATATATAGATAACATTATTCTTTTTAGCATACCTTATTATAACCGTAAAACAAAAATATTTTTAATATTTTTTTATCTCTATCTTGTACTTATCTATGTATTTTCAAAAATATTAATTAACTCGCTTACATTATTTTTGTTTAATTCAATATGAAACGATTAATATCGTAAAATAGTATGATTGATTAAACTAATAACTAAAATAGTTATTTTGGTTACATGGCCTATATAATTTTTTCGATTATTTTTATTTTAATTATCTTATATGCATCATGTAGATAAAATAAAAAAAAGATAAGGATGAAATATAAATACATACACATATAATAAAAATTAATTCAAGCGAAATTAATATTCTTAAAATAGATAAATGCAAGATAAAGAAATATTGAAACTAATATAACTGATTTCTTATTTTACAATAATATTGATAAGTTTAATATTTTCAATGGCTCAAATATATACACATATATATGTATACAATGACTAATTGTATATAATTTGCATTTTTAACATTTTACGATCCGCATCTTTATTACATTATTGCACCATCTGACTGAAATAATTAACTATAATATAAACTGACCGCATTTTTTATCGTGAATACGTGCTGAAACCTCTCTATCTATTGAAGTACTTTGTTATTTTTTTAATTTTTATCTGTAATAACCGCATATGTAATGATAATTATATTTGATAAGATTTATATTCTTATAATGATACCACGTTGTCATTAGCAAAAAAATAGTAAAACCTATTAACGAAAAAAATATTTACCTTTTGTAAATATATATGTATATTCCTCCACGTTTATTCCTATACATCAAAGTAAACAAAGTACAACAAAGTCGCAATTCTTAGAATTTTGAACTTGGAGATTTTTACATGAAAACTTAAATTTACGAAAATCGGGAAAATAAAATAGAATGTTCAGAAAAATATAATAAACAAAGGAGTTACATTAATTAAAATTCTCAAAGACGCTATTCTATAAACAATTTTTTAATTTTTGAAATTTGGACGCCAAAAAATTTATATCTTACTAGATAGATAGTGAAATTGAAACATAACAAAAAATATATATTACGTGCGATATTATTGTTAAATCATTTTGAGGAAATTGCAAATTAACTCTTAATAGTTATATGATCATTAAAATATTTATTTTAGAACTATACAGTAATGGTAAAAATGGAAACAAACATCAAATATAGATGTAATGTACAGACGATGACGATAATGATCGAAAAACCAACGCACATGTTTCTATATGGTAAATAAATAAATGTAGTGCAATTGTCTTAATGTCGATGATTACATAAATTTATAATTGCTCTTACAAAAGTCTTTCTACAAAAATCTTGCGAGATAAGCTAAATACATATACATAATTCATGAAGAATTTTGTCATTGTCATTCTTTTGACAGAAAAACAATCCAATGTAAACTCGACAGTGCTTAATGAATCTCGAAAAAAGTGCAGAAAGTTCCGATTAATTGTACACTTAATTATAATCCTACCACTCGTAAGAATAATAATATTAAATGATTCAAAATGAATTTACGGTCATGACTTATCATGAATCTTGTTGATTACGATTGCTCTGTGTTCGATCGAGTGCCCTATGATATTCTTCCATCAGATACTTTTTGTATTTCGTCTGATTATTCCATAACTCTGCTGCTTCAAGATTAAGTGGACTTTCATTGTTAGGTTCTATATAACAAAGTGTGAAACGAAGTAGTATCTCACATCAATATTGACTTGTATTACACTTTCTTTATTACTTACCACCAAGAAGAGATTGTATGGAGAGTAAAATGGTACGGACGTCATACAGTGCGCTCCACTTGTCTTTTAATATATCTAGACAGATATTACCACCGGTATCTACATTTGGATGAAAGCAAGGTGTAGCAAAGCGTACTATGGGAGCACTATACGGATAGCTATGTGGGAATTCTAAAGTTAATTTGTAGGTGAGACCGGCGTATACCTGCAACACATAACATTTTCATTATACCTGCACTAGAGATTGAGATTAAATTAGAATTTAATCAATTCGGAGAAAGAAAATATCAAGTTTAATGAATTTTACTTTGATTGATAAAATTCCAATCCAATCTTAGTCATCTATTTTGTAACTCTTAACTGCAATGTAAATGTCGCTATGTTGTCATTGTGTTGCTTTTTTTACGCGGAGAGAACAATTTTGCTGAAGTATCTAAAAATTTAGCCAGATACAGATCTGAAAATAATATAATTCTGTTGAATTATCAAAATAATTATGTAGAACACTTAAAAGCATTGATGACAATGCTGTAAAATATTTTAATATTGTAGCAACCAGCTTGAGCATCAACATAATTATTTTGATGGGTCAACCAAAATTATTTTCAGAATTATTTTTAATATCTATAGTTAAATTTTTAAATATTTCAATAAAACTTTTTCCATTGTACATTGTATATAATATCTACTCAATGATAATGTAGCGACATCAATGCTGTTGATACTCTCTAAAACTTTTAGAATGAATCCCGTTTCTAAAGTAAAATTTCACTCCAAAGAATTTAGAGAGTATCAATGCTTTTAAGAGTCAGAGAGTAAAGATCTTAAATTCTTTTTTAGCTGAGCAGTTTATCTTTTTATAAATTTATCTTTTCTCTTTTTTTTCTCTAGTATGGAAAGAATTCCATTGGGCTTTCTACAATAAGCCACTACCTAAACTTTAAGTCTTAAGCCATAAGAAATTGATCATTACAGTTGAATGAGAACAGAACAATCGTTTATAATTGGTTAAAGACTTAAAAAGCTTCGGTAATGACTTATTGTAGAAAGCTATACCTTTAATATTTAGTCTGATACAAACTGTAGACTTTTTTGTTATTAGAGGCAATAATGTTATTCAAAGAGAGATTTTCCTACCGTATCTCTTGGTCCCGTGATAGTCCCAATCCACTTAAATAAATTTTCTCCTTCTGGGAAGGCAGATACTCCCTGTTCGGTGCTCATCATCAACACCATGAGTTCCTTCTGCAATCTGGACAATCAAGAAATAAATTCAAGTATTTCCACACAAGTAAACATCTCCATGAGACAAGTTATAGCTGATTACAACGTAGGAGAAAGATAGACTATTACAAAATCAAATATTGTAAAATATTCCCGACGAATCGCGTTTAATCAACATCAAAGTTCAGAGTCTATTAGGTTATGTGACTACAGTGAACAAAGCGATATCGATTATGCCGCTTGAATTCCTGAAATATCCGAAAAAATTTCGACGGCCGCGAACGGGGCAATTTGAACGGTCGACTCGAAAGAAAACTCGCCAGTCAGCTCGCGATTCATATTAATGGACTTGATTCCGTGTACCGTTTACTGACTGCATGATTGTCCTTCGGCAAACTCTGCTTCTCTTCGGTTGCCTTGGTCGGCGTGTTTTGCATCGAGCTAAACGGATTCACGTTCTGTGCCATCCTGAGGCACCTTAGCGTCTTCGCGTTCCTGGGCGACGAATCGGCGAGAATTATCGTCTTCACAACGGAGCGAGGATCGCAATCTCTCTCTCTCTCTCTCTCTCTCTCTCTCTCTCTCTCTGCGACTCCGACTCACTCTGATACGATTGACCGTCACAACAGCACGATGGAAATTTGAATGCTGCACGGCGCCCTATTACCCGGCTCGAAAACATCAGATTGCAAAACAGCTGTTGCCGTCGGGTGGCGACGCGTCGCGCGGATTTTCCGAATCCTCCTCGTCTTGCGTCTCCCGTCGCGTGTCGTCTTCGGACTTGCAGACGAATAGGATTTTTAAATCGCACATTTTTAATTCACCTTCGGATTCGAGATATCGCGTAATTGTTGGTATCCAAGCATCCTCTCAGTTGATCAATAACTCCGGCGTCGCTTAGCATTTGTTCTCGGAACGCGAGGAGATAGACTTTGAAGGTTTCGGCGAGACGGACAGGCTCGGCATAACGCGATCGCGATATATTGATCGACGTCTTTTCTTTCTCGTCTCCTAACGTGATGACCAACGTGAAACACCAAGGGAGATAACGTGGACGATTGCAATCCGTACTTTCGCGACATGTAGTGCTCGTCAGTTAGCAGAGTATAGGTCGCGTCGAGTGCGTCCAGACTGCACTAGAATCGCGTCGCGTCGATGATTGAGCGAATTCGAGTGACATTCTGCTCGAGCGATGGGATTGCTTGATGATGAGAGTAGATCCGTGGCCTGGTGATCCTGAGGTGGCGAAAGTATGGCAGCGGCGCAGGGCACACCGGAGTCGGACACTGGGAGCTTCGAGTGTTTCAGAAACTATACGGCACCGGAGGTGTTTGTGCAAGGCCTGGCCGGCATCGTCGATCAGCAGGACGTAGAGTCTATGATACGTGCACAGAAACAGATGTAAGTTTCGGCTCTGATTTTCTATAGACTTGTTCGTTTTGAACCTCTAAGATTCAGTTTCACAACTCACGGTTAATTCTTAACCGAGATTCAACTTATGTCTCATCTCTTTCCAATTCTAGCATTAGAAAGAGATCAGGAATAAGTTCAGTTAAGAGTTAATCAATGAGTTGTGAAACTGGGCCCAACTGAACTTCTTGGCCTTCTTGCATGTTTATTTTTCCTTCTTCTCTTTTCGCGTTGATGAGGAGAAGAGAAAAAGAGAACTGTGGCCACACACATACACACAAAGAAACTTAGTTAAAAGAATAGATTCCAATCAATCAATTTTAAAATCAATTTTAATTTCAAGTATGCGACTTTGTTGTTAAACTTCTTAAGTAACAATTTTAATTTGTCATTAGAATTTATTTATCGAACATTGAAAATGACCTAGTGTAAGGTCGAAATGTCTGTTTGTTACGTAATTTTAAGAATGATTAAAAGATAGCAACTAATAAGCCACTATTACTCTTTAGCCTTTTGTTTATTATATTATATGTATATTTAAAAGAATAGATCTTATGCTTATTTTTTATAGCTATACTAGTGTACACTTTTGTAACTTAAAGTGAGATAGATATATGTTTGAGATTTGGCAAAACCGAGAAAGATAATTCTAGTGCAGTCTGGTCTCTACTGAAAAAAATTATATCATAGCGTTACATGATGAAATTATGTGATTAAAACATGTAAATCACGTAAAAGAAAAGTCACGTGATAATATGTTCTTTTTTCTTTTATTTCTATTATTCAATTCTTTAAAATTCAATAACTATAAAATCACACGATGGACGAAATTATTTCTATCATGTGATTTTTCAAATTATATCGTTTTAAAAAATCACGTTCTGATTTGGAACAATCCGTTATGTGTTTTAATTATATTTTATCATGTAACTGTATAACGTTTTTATTTTTTTCAGTAGGGGTACAGGTATAAAAAACAGATCTCTTTTATTTTGCATGGTGAACTCGCTCAAATAGAACAAAATCCAAAACATTGGGACAAACTTTGCTAATTTTATATATATGTATAAACACATATAGCAGCTTTAGTACTAATTTAGTGTAATGCAAGTGACCAAATTTGCTATTTGTCTTTTTCGAGATGTATTTACACACCTCTAATTCTCTCATGATATAATATTTAACTCTTTGTATGCTTCCAGGTTACAAAGGTTTGAAAAGACCAACGAGATGCTGACAAACTGCAATCAATTGTCGGTGAACAGACTCAAGACTGCCGGTACAGAATTCAAGAAGCACACTGCTCTTCTAGTCGAGATGAAGAGGGACCTGGATTATATTTTTAAGAGGATTCGCTTGATAAAGAATAAATTGAGCCAACAATATCCACAGGCGTTCAACGGTAATTAATTATATGAACGAATCAACAAGGAAATTAGATATATGATCCATTCGTTATATTTTTTTCTATCCTAAATGTGCAGAGGCAGTAAGGAGCAGCTTGGCGGAGGAAGTTATCGTGGAGGATGTCGATTGCCCGGTGAAGCCTCTCGAACCGGAAGTCGTGCCATTGCCATCCGCCCCAGTTCACGGCGCTGCCGATCAAGATCCCGATTCAGATGGTAATGAAACCTCCACTAAAAGTAGCCATATCGCTAAGGAATAAATTGGATCTCCGACGAACGTTCAAATGTAAAATATTTAAAATTTACCTACGGAACGAACGGTCGGTTAATTCAGGTAACACACATCTTCTTTCTAATATATTAATGGAGGTAAACCACGGAAGAAAGGAGTATGTTCTATGCTTTGTTGTAAGAGAGCAAAGAGACCTGTTTAGTCTGAACTGTTTTTACATACTCAGATGATTTTATTGTTGTGAGATATATATATATGTAATTACATTAACTATATGTGAATGCATAAGAGAGTATTTTAAAGAGAGTATTTCTATTAGAAATTGATGTTAACGAGAAGCGATGTCTTGCTTCTTAAAATTTTGCGCTTTATCTGACCGTGCACTTTCTCCCCGTGAGGAGATACTAGTACAAAAACCACTGTTAAGGAGTATCAGTCGCAAACGGCGAATCGACACTTTCCGATTATTTACGCATATTTTTTTGCGTTATTATTCGCATGTATAAAACAATCATCACTGAGCAAATTTGCAATATAGTAAGATACAAAGTAAATTTCCTTACTAGTCAGTTTATGCAAAGGTAGTTGATCAAGAAATTGTCGATAAATTGTGCAATAATTTTTTCTATTACAAACGAATACGTGCCATGTGTTGAATCTCCAACACGTTACGTAGATATCAGAGATGAGGATGTTGAGTACGGA